ATGGATAATAACGATTTTTTGTTGTGTACCGACGATCATGGTCAACCAGTTGTAAATGAGTTTTTTTTTATTTTTTATTTTATCTGCATACGTGTTATATTGTCATAATCTTTAAATGGCGGTAGAAGCCATTCTTTTACAGGATATATTTTGTCACCTAATAAATGTTGGTCTGGCAAAAAGTATTCTGAATATCCATTTGTTTCAATTTTAATATTTAAGTTTGAATTGCTTAATACTCTGCAATCATTAGCTGATCCAGGATGTCCTATATATACATAGAGCAATCGATGCTTGTTATATAAATATCCTCACATACATATATCCAAGAAACATTTAAGACATCCCTATGTCTTAAGGAAGTTCAATGGACAAAGTGTGTTGAATGGTTATGATAGTAATAAGCGTTTATAAAAGGTATTTGTTCCTGAAGTCACTTTAGAGTATTTTGTGCGCGACTTCCAAACAAAGATTTTGGTTAGAAAGCGGCCAGTAAACGTTAATAACAATTTTACCTATTTGTTGCCGTTTGAAGTTATTTGTCATATTCAACAATTTTGTAAGAAATATGATTATTATGGACGATTTTAACTATTTAATACTTACTTTTTGCATTTCTTTTTGGCGTGCTATTAATTGTAATAACTGTTGAAACGTTAAACGCTTCAATCTAAAATTCAGAAAAAAATCATTTTCAGTATATAAATCTATCCACATTTTGGAATATAGTCCAGGACGACTATGATTTTGTCGTTTCTTTATAAATGATATGCGTCGTTTTCTATTTGCTTTTATTGAATGAAAAAATTGTCTATACATTTCTACGAAAGATATTTCTTCGTCATCATATATTTCGTTTACTAACAATAAACACGTTTTAAAACTCTGCATGTTTATTATTTAAATATTCACATGAAATAATGGCTTCTACGCATAAGATAGAAAACAACAAACAGATAAAATTATTATTAACGTTTACTGGCCGCTTTCTAACCTAAATCTTTGTTTGGAAGTCGCGCACAGAATACCCTAGAGTGACTTCAGGAACAACCAGTCTATTTTAGCGTCAGTAGTGGTACTTGGTAGTGGTACATATACCAGAATAAGTTCCACCCCTACCATGGTACATATACCAAACAATCGCCAAAAATCGCCTATATTTCCAAAGCGCCGAATATTCGCCATCGATAGCTTGGCGCGCGGGGAGTGGGGCAAGCGCCCCGCTTACCGCCGCGAGCCTGTAAGCTCGAACGGCGTGGCGCGCCTACTAGGCCATCCCCGCTCCTCGCAGCAGTCGCAGCCCGCGCGCCGTGCGCTCGATGGGCTGTGCCTTCGGCAATAGTAGGTTGGGCGGACGCGCGTATTTGGCTATCTTTTAAACGTTAATATCTCGTTAACTATTGCTGACACCTCAAAATGGTACAGGACTTTTTAATTCAGTATAAGCTGTTCTACCCACGTATGACAAAAAATGCGGTAGTCGCCAAACACCCTGTATAATATAAAATTATATACTCATTATCCTCTCGTTATTGTGTCTGAGGATTAACTTAAAAAAAAATCAAAATAAAAGTTATAATAGTTACCGATAAAATGTAACTAAATTAAGTTAAAAAATTAAGAGTCTAAAATGTAACTAAGTTAAGTTAAAATTAATTAACTTTTTAACTTAACTTTTATCTTTTTAACTTAGCACTACCCAACCGAAGCAATTTGGAACAGTTTGTATCCTTTAGTTTTACCGCCATTGTCAGAAAAAGACTGGCTCGAAATTGCAAATGATTTTGAAGAATTGTCTAATTTCACTCATTGCATTGGTGCCATCGATGGAAAACATGTAACAATACAAGTATGTATTCTAAAGGTTGATTGTGTGTTTTCACGTCATTTTAAAATACACAATCGAAGTATAAATAGTTTAAGACACTACCGTTATCGGTACTGTCAGTTATCGGTGAACTATATTTTCAATTAATAATAGTTAATATAATAGCTCAATTCATAGAAAATTAATAATAAAAATATATGGGCTGTACAAGCTTGACACTGACCTTGAACACTGATTGTTTTTTGTAAAATCAATATAAAATATCATAAATAAATAAAATTAAAATACAATTAAGAATCAAACGTTTCGACCTTTACTTTGGTCATCTTCGATGATATAAAATTAAATCTAAATATATAAAAGTATAATACAAATATTATTGTATACATGACTTGTGACATTTTGTTTCAGTGTCCCAACAATGCTGGTTCTACGTATTGCAACTATAAGCATGCTCATAGTGTAGTATTAATGGCCATTTGTGATGCACACTATGTATTCCGTTTCGTTGATATCGGAGCGTATGGACGACGAAGCGATGGAGGTATTTTCAGCAACAGTGCTATTGGCAAGAACTTTAATACAAACGTCATGAATATACCGAAGCCATCAGCTGTTGCAGGAGGGCGAATTTTGCCATACTGTCTCGTAGGAGACGAAGCATTTCCCTTAACCGTATTTATTTCGCCCTTATCCAGGCAAGAACGGACTGACATCGGAACAGGACATTTTCAATTATCGGTTAAGCCGTGCGAGAAGATTTATCGAAAATACTTTCGGTATATTAGCTAGCCAATGGCGAATATATCGCAAACCAATTATTGCATCCCCAGAGAATGTTAAATTGATGGTGCAGGCGACGGTTTGTCTGCATAATTGGATCCGCAAAGACGACATTGATAAAAATACATACGTTTCTGCGGGTATGGTGGATGAAATTAATCCTGATGATCCAAGTAGTTCCACATTAGGTTCTTGGCGGAGAATCTTTGAAGATGGCTGCGCTTTTCGAGATATCGGTCATTGTGGTTCGAATACCAGTGCGCGAAACTGCATTCAGATGCGCAATGAATTTTGTAATTTTTTTTGTAATGAAGGACAGGTATCTTGGCAAAATAACAGACACAAATAAAGAACAAGTTGAATATAACAGTCAAATATAACCAAACGTTTTAACAATAGGGTTATTTTCAATGTTACAGTAAAATTACGCGATAATGTTCGCAAGAATACATAATTTCTCAAAATGTCTTCATATCTTATGTTGGAAACGTTTGAATATCATATTTACGTATGGTTTATTTATTTTTTGATTAAAATTTCTTTGTTACTAAACTGACTCGTAGCCCTTCAACTGTCGAATTTGTTTTATACTTGTAAAGTCTTATTATTGAAGTTACAAATAAAAAATATTCACAAAATTTATTATATTATTATTTATTTTATTATTTAACATTTATAAATATATTATATAAGATTATCACAATGTTATCACATTTTTATTGATAAATTGAGCAGTAGAAAAATTACATCCTATGTAATTTCACGCAGCGTCAAAACGCGCTAGAAAAAAATGCGTGAAAAAGTTAAAAGTCCTAATAAAGATTTAGAATGGAACTACGAGGATGATTCAAGTCAAACCGAGACTTTTACTCTTATGAACATAAGACAGAAAAAAATTAAAACTAAAACTAAAATTAAAACTGGCCTTAATGGTATTGGTGATAATGTTATCACAATGTTATCACATTTTGATTGACAAATTGAGCAGTAGAAATATTACATTCTATGTAATTTCACGCAGCGTCAAAACGCGCTAGAAAAAAATGCGTGAAAAAGTTAAAAGTCCTAATAAAGGTTTAGGATGTAACTACGAGGATGGTTCAAGTCAAACCGAGACTTTTACTCTTATGAATATAAGACAGGGTATCAATCATGAAACTTTATCCCTAGGATGAAAAGTGAAAAGTAAAAATTTTAACCATTTAAGTTAATGGAGAAATTTTTCACCTTTTACTTTTCATCCTAGGAAAAAAGTTTCATGATTGATACTCAGAAAAAAATTAAAACTAAAACTAAAAATAAAACTGGGTCTAAGCTTGATTCCTGTGGCGTTCTTCATGCAGCATCTCGAGTATACGCACCATCGCCCTGTCCCGTGCATCTTCGCTCAGACTATCGAGCCTGTATGCAACCGTGGTGCAGAATCCAAGAGACGGACTCTGATTATTCTGCTGTATGTCAATATTTATGGGCTCCCGTATCAACTGTTGCATTTCATCCATAAAATTTTCTTTATTTTTTTTTTGATGACCCGGACCAATACCTAAAAGAATAAAGACATTTAGTTTCATGGCAACATGTTATTTATTCTGAAAGTAAAAGGTCGTCTAATGAATGACTTATGGCTCCTGTACAGGGTATTGCAGATACATATTAGGCAGTACGACGGGTTGCGCGGCAAATTTTGTACGGGTAGGCGCGGTTTAATAGGTATTGACGGTGATTTTATAACATAAACTTAAGTAGGCACGATTTAATAGGTATAACATAAACTTAAGTTAAGTAAACCATGCAAAATTTACCGCGCAACCCATCGTACTGCCTAGTATGTATCTGTAACACCCTGTACATTAGCGCAGAAACGCTTGTCGCGCGGTAAACGTTTCCACATTCCATTTACAGGAGCCATTAAAGCCGTAGGACACACTTTTGCATAATGCATATGTACAAGGCATAAGAGAATCAATTAATCGGAGCCTTCCTTTCCATAAAATGAAGAAGTCTGATTAATTGATTCTCTTATGCCTTATGCGTTATGCAAAGATCTGTGCTTTTTCGGCACAGATTGATCTTAAAAGCTCAATATATTATACTTGGTTAAAGGAAAATCGAATGTTTCTCGATATCGAGTTAGTATACGTACGCACAATAAGTTCGTTTTTGACCAAAGGAACATTGTAGACAACCCATAATGCAAATAATCATTAAACTAAAAAATCTTACGTGGTGAAACACTACTCATACTATCATTCACGCTGTCACAATCAGTATTGTTTAAAGTATCTTCTGTGATGGGGATATTTGACGTCGTACTGAAATTGCAAGAAATATTTTTCATTAATTCATGTAGGTACATTACATAGGCTAACATGAATTTTGATCCAGAAACAGCAGTATGTAATCCCGAAGGTTAGCGTGCATCAAATCCATAACCCAAATTGCTCCATCACATCAGGTTTTCGAGATATTCTAACTTTAAAAAGCCTATTTTGGACATTTTTTAAGTAGAATATCTCGGAAACTTAAGGGGGCAAGATAGGTTAGCAACTTGAAAAAAACATTTTTTTTGATAATTTTTTATATGAAAGTACAACATCTCAGGAATATCCTGTGAAAATTTCAAGTCGATCGGACTAAAACTCGCTGAGATATACCGGTTA